TAATATTTCGGTCGTCGGTGCACTCACATAATTTTACTGATTAATAAGACTCAACGAGGATAGCGTAGCACGGTAGCCGTGAACTCGTTTAGTGTATAATTATACCTATAAAAATATACAAGCTGATATAATACTAATGTGTGTTTGCGCTCAGTCATCGCGTATAGGTACAAAACATAATATACGTACTTCATTATTGGAACGCTTTGGAACGTCGTCGACGCCATCATGAAATATAATATTTCCAAACGCATATTATATTATTATCACTATAATATTATTCAGTTTAGCGTAGTCAACTAATACTACTATACATGTATTATATTATTTTAAAGATTTCACGGAAACGAAAATAAGCGCTGTTGCCTGTTTGGCATATATTTGTTCGGATATACAAACGCATAATACATATGTGCCGCCACGTGTAAACATCTATATTATAATAATATAATATTAGTGCACAGGTACAAACGAATTATTACGAAATAGAAGAATGGAAATATTATTATTTGTATAATTACAATGCGCACAACTCGAGGCGGCTCGGCTGGCATCACGCAACCGAAGTTTAGGCATACGTGTAAAAACAATAATATTATTTCATTATATTATTATGTATAATTGGTATACATAATATTATAATACGATGGCGGTTACCTCTTATATCGCGGTATAAACACTCCGGTTTTTGGTCGCCCTCTAAATAACAGCGACACAAATGAATTTCCACAGTCTAAATTATTTTAGTGCTTATTCGGTATATATAGAGCCATAGAGGCAGTTCCTATATGTCCTATATTATAATATAGATAGGTATAGTTAATATAATATATAACATCATAAATTGTAAATTGTAAATTTTGGTTTGAAAACGTAAGATACCTAGGTAACAGAACAAATCCGATTGTATCATTACTATTATCGTTTATTTAGTAACAATAATTGTTTGTAGGTACTTCCCGGACACGCGTAAGCGACAGGATGATGGATTCTATTTTCGCGTGATAATAATATAGTGCCTGAGATTCGTGTAGGTAATTTAATATTATTGTATTGTGTATATGTGTATAGTGACGACGTTTTGAAGGGCGCTTATGCTATAAGTGCGCAAATCGTAAAACGCGGTCTTGCCATCATCTGGTGTGACCCCCCGTACCCGACGACCTTAACCTCCACGAATACCATAATCCCATTTCGACGATGGGTAATAATAATACGGTGGAATCATGATTTTTTTTTCTTGTTTTACGACTCCCGACGCACGAAATTAATAAGAATCGAAGTGGAATTGAAAAAAATCCAGACTGAAGATGAGCGAAAAATAAAAAAAAAACTAAAAAATGTCCACCCGAAGGTCTTCCGGTTTTAATCTTAAATTATCGAAAAATAATAAATATTTTGCCAAACGACCGCCAACCATTTGTGTATAGCTGACACATACAACAACGCGTATCGTGTGGCCAAACAAGTTTACATAATATGCTTATATTATATACCTATTATGTATACAGGATACCACTTAACTTTTTTTTCGTGAATATTATAAATTTAAAAAAAAAAAACATTTTAACTTTTTGCATGGTAATACGAGCTACGCAAGTCTTAAAGTTTAAGCAGGATTAGAGACACGATTTTGTTCAGTTTATATTGAATATTTTCACCAAATCAGTACCGTGATCACCTGCTGTATATATTCATTAAAATATATTCCATAATATTATTATAAATAGAATCTGATATATAAATATATTGAATGTCATTCGAGGATAATATCAGAAACATTTGTCAAAATATACACTTTTACTGTAATATTGTTGAATTCTATAAAATAATAATAAATCATTCCGATACAATTATAATTTCTTTATAATATTAGATTAATACTATTTTATGTTTCACGAATAATTTTATTTGATACCAATCTGGGCTAGTCGATTTTTCGCCGAAGATATTYGCGTGGTATCAAACTATAATTTGCTCTTTTTCATAATAATTATCTACAGACAAAATAAAAAATAAAATTATTTTCAGAATCCCTATTTMAAAAATTACTCGCATCCAGAAAATACGGTATTTTTTTTAACACGCATTAGGTAATTATTATACCGTAGTTGCGGTCCATATCTGCAGTCTCCACCGAACACATCCAAAGCAACGTAACAGAAGAATAAATAATATGACGTCGGCAAAGAATCCAATGACTGAACTTTTATAAAAAATCGTACTATACATCGCGTCACTTAGCCTTGATGCACGCTGCACATATCGTGGAATGATATAATAATGTCGTCGTCGTCGTCGTCGTCGGAAACCGTCCTTACTCGTTACGTATTCAAAACTGGTGATTATATTATAATTATTATTCGACAGGTACATATACGAAAATAATATTCATCGATACGTCAATAATGATGATGGCGATAATAGCGCGTATTACAAGTAACTATATACCTATTATATACCTATACAATTTTATAGTAAATGAACTCGTTGGCCGACAGCCAGTCCGTCTCACTCGAAATACATAAATATATATATTATATTCATGTACATAGCATAATAATATATTATTATTGTTATAATATCGCAGTCGTGGTAATAAGTATAACGAACTATTTATCACGATATGTCTCATCATTATTCCGCCGTTTGCTTGTCATTTACGAGCAATATTAAAATATTATCGTTACAATATTAAATKAACGTGCATAAGTCGCACATCGTTTTAAAATTACATTGTAGAATATGAATAATTACCATATTATGTATAATATATTAAAGCGATATCGCTGAGATTAGTAAATCGACTGTCACTGAATAAAAATATATGAAATATTTATAAATTATAATATGTATGATATGGGCTAGGTATTACAATGTCTACAGTATTATACTACCTATTATAAAGGTATATACTCGTAGAGTCGTTAGTTTATTATTACGGCTCAATAATTAATTGTCTGGCACGTTGTTAACATATTTTATACTGTGGAAATAATAGTATTACATGGTGTTAATTATTACGACGCGATTTATCCACGAAAGAATATTATTCCGATCCTGGTTTTGTCTTCTGTTTACACGCATGTTTTCTTGCCGACACGATATCGCTATTTAGGCCGGACGTGAGCTAGACGTTAACGGCTAGACATTCATCTCAAAATTAAAATGACTTTATAGGCATGATAATACATGTTATTTATCAGAAGAAGTCAGGTGATAAGATAGTCGCGAGCTGCATAATTTATTGATAAATAACAATATGATGAATAGCAGGAAAAGGAATAATTTCTAACATTTTATTAGTAAAAATATCAAGACGTGGACGATTTAGATTTGGCCACCCCTGATTTACAATATACCCTTATAGTCACGCGTTTGCAGTCAGATTTATTTTAGAAAAATAGCACGACTACGATGAATGAAAAGCGAATTAATACACATGAGCGCCGTCGATAATAACAAAATCTCAAACGTCATGATAATCTCATTAAGAACGCCTTGGCATACCCATCTTCATTAATGCAATTACAGTTATGTCACTATGCAGTATGCCGCGTCGATTAACCATCAGTTATATATTGGCGTAATTCCATTACATTTCAGCAGGCGCAACATTTTTATCGGTCCAATAATCGTAATGACAAATTAAGTCATATTTTTCTCATATTTAAAACTAATTGCATTGCTCGCGTGTAGGTACTATAGTTATCTTTTTATATTTGATAACAATATAACATAAACAAATATCAAAATCTGTAGGTATCTATATTTTAAATACTATATGTGCTGTGTCTATACAACAATACATTATACATACATATAAAAATATGTAAAAAGTGATAAAAAAAATTTTAAATAAGTTTAAAAAAAATKCAACAAATCAATGAAATATAGTTGCCAGTTGGTATTGTATTTTAATTATAGGTATAAAGTTCAGCATCTGCAGGTGCAAAAGCATATCTTTGCACCTGCTACATAATACCAGGAGGTGTAAGTGCACCGTCGTGCACCCCCATAATTACACCACTGACCAGAGTTGTAGTTGATGACATATACCACGTTTTCACCAAAAACATTATACCTAACAAATTTCACCACTACCACCGTTGTGCAACGTCTGCGTACTGCAGTAATGAATAACACACGATTTGTTAAAGATATTAATATAACTCTACCTAAATTAAGAACTGCTTTTTATCAATTGAGACCATATTTTGTATTTACTAAATTTTGTATATTTTATTTTGAATAATTGTGAATTAACTTCATTATTGCTTTCTTAACTTTTTTTTCTTATGTCATGTTCTTGTTATGTTTGTTTAATATTGAAATTGCATAAACTCTATCCTCCAGCACAGCCTTTGCCTTAGGAATATGCGATTTGTACAAAAAAAGCCTAAAATTGTATTATTTTTGAAGACATTTGAAGGATATTATAAAGTTTGAGATTAAAATATTGTTGGAATTCAATGTGGCCGTGGAATATTACCCTCTATAAGTTAAAAAAAAATCAAATTTGGTTGATTTTTCGGAACAGGATCATTATCCCTGTATGTTGCACTAAATACATGGAGTACTTAATCAAAATATGATCTTGATAGAAAGACATCGCCATATTATGCATTCTGACTCATTGAAAAACATGGTCAAAAATGTTATTTCATACATGAAAATTATTATCATCATTTTCATATTATTGTTGAAAAATCCAACGGAATGAATCTGATGACTCCCGTATAGGAACATAAATTTCTAAAAATTATACATGTTCCATGTATTTAGTTCAATGTTCTTGTTGAGAGTATTATTGTGGACATAATTACATTACTACATTAGCATCGTCGCACCGGGCGTCTTATCGTCGTTTAATAAATCCTTAAATATATATTTATTTTTTAAGAGAATGATTTTWTTTTTATGAAATCATTGCTATACATTATTATTATTATTGTGGTGATGATCGTCGTTTTAATGGTATACGTTTTTGCTTGTTTCAGAATACCGGAAGTACGTTTCTACAAAAGCTGTTTCGGTAAGTCCCATTATATAGTAGGTATAATAATATGATGACAATATATTATAATATAAAATATCTAACGCGGTAAAGAATGAACCGTGGTACTCTACGTACGGTGAGTACCTACTACCTACCTACCTATCTAGAAGTGTATTGTGTRYACCACCCGTATGCGCTGTGACACGTATATGGCATTATTATATTATGTGTTGTTTGATGTCGCAAAAACTATGTCAAATTACTAGCTTGGTAGGACGTATACCAGCTCATTATATTTAGGCCGAACAGATCGATTTTTCCGTATTCCCTATATACGCCCATATATAATAATTTTTGTCGCGCGGGTCCACATGCTGCATCCGACCACCTAGTTCGACGGAGGCGGTACGTATAATATTGTTATAATATAGCCCCCGACGCGTCTTTAATACGATAAACATATTATAATAATAGTAATAATAATAATAATAATAAAATGACACACGGGCATTATTAATATCAGGTATTATCAACGAGAGAGTGTGGGCCACATTAAACTTGTGAAATTATCGGCGCGGTGGCGGGTTGTTGAACCTGACGGGCGAGCTAGAAGTCTTCTTCTTCTCCCGCAACTCTGCCGCAGCACACACGCGCATTGTATGCCGCCGCCGCAGAAGCCTGCAATGTGTACAAAGCGTTTGTTCGCGATTATTACAATRGAGTACCGTAATGGCAATATATTATTATATTATATTATATAGGCGATTATATCAAATACGCTTAAACTCGTTATTACTCGTGTTATTTATTAATTATTATACTTTTATTAACCCGTCGCGGGAAAGGAAAAGCTCTCCATGCACAGTTTCGTCCACGGTGGTTCTTTCCCAATGACCTTTCCGTCCTTTCCCATGGGGGTGGCCGTTAAAGTCTCCGCATTCATTAAACGTTTAGTCCTATACTAAAGTCCCACCGATGTGCATGTCAATACTCTACACTGCAGAGTCTACAGTTTAATGTAGGGACGTATTTTACACGTACCTACGCGTGTTTCGTCTTCCGCGATAATCGCGATATCATACATTATAATATTATTATTATTTTTCTATTCCTCTTTTTGCGTGCATAGCACCTTCGACAACTCCTTCCAGCCACCGTCATCTCCGTACACACTTCCACTAAATCGTAAGTTGTAAATGTATATTTAACATYTATAATTATATAATTTTATATAATTATGTATATAAATTTCCCCGCCACCAAACATAATAAATATATAATTTTAATACTATAGGTACTATTAAATTCATGTATATTATTATACATTACTACATTAYTGCACTTTAAACGAGCCTAACGAAGACGCGTGTATAATATGAGATTTTCTTGTAAATCTTTGATKCGTACTGCTGCAATAATATTTTATAAAACGTAAATAACACTCGCGAATTCCGAATCGAACAATACGAAATGACGGACCATAGAGGCGTTTATTATTATTATTATTATCATTATCATTATTATTATTACTATTATTATTATTATTATTATTGTTATTCTTATTATGGAATTAATGAGCCCGCGCGCGTGTGTTTCAATATACCTACATATTATACTCGTATAATACATATATTGTAATTCTTTCAAAAATAATATAATTGGTATATACATATACATATATATATACATATATACACGCGCATAAACAATATTATTACTTTATTATATTTACCTCTATAAATATAATATACATAAACACCTAAATACACACATACAAACATTTTTCCTACAACCGGTAACGTGATTGAATCGTAGCTGTGGCAAGGTTATAAGATGTGTACAACAGTAAAAATGTATAAATGTGTATTAGGTGCATTAMATTTTACTCGTATGTGCTTTGTTTGCGACGACCAATAACGTTACCCAATTTGTTCGTCAGGACTCGGAAAGTATGTATAGAATAGTATAGAAATTGCAAGAGAATATACGGTATAACATAGATAGGTTTGATCGGGGCAACTTTTTTGACCGAAATGTTTAAAGTTCAAGCTATTTCCATAAATATATTCTATGATAATATTGTATGYATTTTTCAATGATACKGTCGGTCGTCCTGTGTGAATTGCAGTTTGCTCCCTCGGGCGTGCCTCACAATTTTATACACAACATATAGGAATTACACATATATAGCCGTCAGCAAAAACATTTTAATAAGGTCGAAAATTATGTTTTCGTTTTAACATTGTGTAATATTTAGACATGTTTGTACGAAAACAAACTCATATAGCCGACTCTCGTYTGTCGTGTAAAATAGTTTTATAGGTATTTAATATTTATATTATATTATGTACCATAAACATAATGGATCATTTTCTCAAGCGATATAGTATATTATATATATATATATAGGTAAACAATTCGTGTACAAATTCGCAAGTTATCGTTGGATAAAAATAGAAAGGCGAGGGTAATATTGTAACCTTTTTTTTGAATTAAGGTCATGAAACAGAAATCAGTGTGCTGAACTGTTGCTKTATTATACGTATGCATGTTATTATAATTTATATTGGGTAATTGTTGTTACTAAATTATTCATGAACATTCGTGGAAAATAGACTTCTGCGAATTCGGAAACCCCAACAAACGATGTTGGTCCCGATCACCAGACGGTAAAATGATACAAGTCGCTCGAGGACATCGGTGAGGGAGTCCGGTGTGGCAGATCGCGGTTGACCGTGGTCGTGGTTTCGTCGCCTCGGGATGACCGTATATCATGCACAAAATAATATTCGCTATAACGGTAAAATCAAGCCGTCGTATAAAAAACCTACCTACCTATATATATTTTTTATTAAGTGATGTGAGCAGTCCGGATTGCACGAGTGCATGACTCTATACGGTCTCGGGATTCCCCCAGTCTCGTGAGGGTTTCCATCCACAGACGCTTAGTGGAATTATACAAAAATAACTATACATATAATTATATAGGTACCCGCAAGCGATTTATTTAATTGAATTATTTTAATAATATAAAAAAAATGTTTGTAAATTTAAATGTAATAGGGGCTACATCCGAGTTTCGTCCCAAATATAAAAATGTAATTTAAAGATACTCTAGTTCCGTCCCGGGTTTTTAAGTAGATGTACCGGTTCCGTCCCGTGTCAAATCGAATAAATAACAATATCACATTCTTATTTAGAAATAAAGGTAATAAAGATAATATTATTTTAGCTATTGAACCAAATAAACTTTTCAGTCGTTATTTATACGTGTCCATGCCATTTAATTATATTAAAAATAATTAGTATACAATATATGTACAGTGAAAAAGGTAAAATTTTAATTATTAAAAATAATAAGTTTGACTTATATTTTTTGAATGCATTTTATGACGACCACATTTATAGGTACAAATTATTTATATGATATTTAGTATATACTGAATTTTTTTTTTTATATATATATTATTACGATTATCTTATGAAAATGTAAATAATATAAATACTTTTATTATTTTTGATGCATTTTATAACAAAAATAATTATACAAATTATAATTAAGACTAAATTATAAAAATGATTAAGGACGGAATTGGTGTAAAAATTGATTAATTGATGATAAAATTGATTCTTAGGACGGAACTTTGATGCAGCCGTAATAGGTACCTATATTATATTTATCATGACAAATTATAGAGGTACGTCAGCAACAATATGTGTTTGAGTCTTGCGTGCGCATTCCCACTTTTTCCTATGTGTTAGGTTCTCCGATTTTCATGCTTTGGTATATGCGACCAATGAGAGGCGGAGAACGTAACACACAGTAAAAAGTGGAAAATATGCGCATGAGAATGTTGCTGACATACCTATTTATACTTTGTCATGATATATGTCAGGGGCGTATTTATGGGGGTGGCTGAGGGGGATTCAGCCCCCCCCCCAACCCCGAAATCCAAGAATTGGTTATGAAGTCTGCTTATTATGTCCTATCATCAGATGTAAATTTTCTAACTCATATAGGCTGAATTGGGAATTTCAATTGGAGAAAATACCACAGCCCTTCCCCCCCCCCAAAAAAAAAAATATCTAAATACGCCCCTGATACAAGTATATATTATATATACCTACCTATTTAAATTTCATAGAAATTTATATTTTCATAAAAATGCCGTGTAATCTGCAGCAATTTAAATAGCAGATATTTCTGTTTATCAATGATATTATATTACCTGCTTATAATTATAATAGTTAATAGCTAGATAGTACAATTGTTATTGCCAATTTTTCGGTGCGCGACTGAAATACACGTGCATCGCATAGGTTATAGGTACTATATATATGGTAACMAGACGTACTCTTTTTTTGATGTGTGTCCTAGTGTCCTTAACAATAGTGTTAAGTACATAAAATTGTACTCTTTTTAAAAAAAATATATAAGCTAATACGTGTTTATGTGTTTTTACTGTGGGTAGAAAAGTACACACATTGATTAATTATGACAAAGGAGGACCTAAGTTTTAAAATGTACTTTTTTTTGGATTTTTATAATATCTGGTCACCTTAATTATATATATATATCAACCACTGCGGTTGAAACTTGCAATTRAATTTTTTTCAATAGTCCACAGCAGGATCGCCGATCGGACACTGATTATATATTTATATGTATGAATTGTACAGCATATACATTATATATATTATATCTAATGATATGATATGAATTAATAGTACATACAATTCATACGAAATATATATATATAATACATACAATGATCTAATGCGCAATAGTAATAAATATAAAGACAACTGACACGCACGATGGACATAAAAAGCATCGTTTAGGAAAAAGAAAGAGAGACAGAAAAATCGTGTCACAGATTTGTCGACCCGTTGTTATAGAGGACGAATATTGAATTTTGAATTGTATATAGACATAAAAATATAATGCACGGGACCGCCGTGGCAAAATATTATGATTTCACGTAACGTCGTGCCCATTAGCCGCCGCTASTGCCTTATACGGTAATACGTGAAAT